AATAGGGTGAATACATCTCATTACACTGATTTACTGGTAGTCTCGAAACCCTACTCATTTACGAATAAAGGTCTTCTTCCGGACTCATTTTGTCATGTTGTCAAAACGACAAGGTAGTCGTTCATGCATCTCACCCATAATCTGGGACACCATTTATGGCATAATGTTTTAGCAATTAAAGGCGAGACAATCCACCCTTGGCCCATAATGAAGCCAAATTACGAATCAATTGTAGCAAACTTTTCACGGAAAACAAAGGCTACCATGACATGATGTTCCTTTTGGAATTTCGCGCCAGCTTGAAATATAAGACTAAAGTGCAAGAGTTTCGGCAGAACCCTCATCGAATGTTATACCAATGAAAGAAGCCCATGCAACAGCAAAGTTTACTACGTACTCTATCTTCAGCGCGGGCTTGCTGCTCTTTGACAGCATTTAAGATGGCTTCGTGTTGTCGGCCTGCTGCCTCCTGAAGGGCTTCACTCCTGGCCAACTTCTCCTGAGCCGTCGAAGCAATCTCCTGCCAGTGTCGGAGGTCGGCACGACACGTCTCAAAACTGTTCTTAAGCGACTGTCAGACAGAAAAAAGATGCATAAAAGGATGAGCTAGCAGATTAGGGGCAGCACAAGTGGTGCCGTGAAAGGGCATATGAGGGACCGTCTTACCTCCAGCTGGGCTTTTGTACTGACCAGCTCATCTGCTGTTGCAGTCAACTCTGACGCCCGACGCTCTGCCTCGGCCCGACTCATTGCCAGGCTCGTCTCGAGTCCGGCAAGAAGGCCGGACATTTTTGCCAGCTCGACTGCCGAGACCGTTGGTGAATCTGGTGCTGTTCCCATTGTCCCTTCAGCACCAGTTCTCAGCTCAAGCTCGTCAAATTCTGTATCCACTTTTCGTTTGGATGATCCGTTTCTTTGGCTCCGAGCTCGGGTACGTGGATCACCAGCGGCTATTACTTCGGCATCACTCAAAGCGTCAAGCCGGCCTGACAGGCGCTGGCACTCTTCTCGTAGCACTTGCTCCGTCTTAAAACAATCGGTCAGCCGGCAAGAGGCTTCGGCCTATAAAGCACATTGGAATAAAGAAATGATCTCGAACTAATTTTAGTGCCAAAATAACATAATAATACAATACAATATATTATATGCTAAAGTAATCGAATTAAATAGCATTAAGTCATTGTAGATACGAAGAGAGACTGGGTTTCGACTAATCTCCTGAAATAACATTGATAGGGGACCTTCATTTCGTATGAAAGTGCATGAAAAAGAGATTCGTTGGTCGATCTCACCAGAAGAGGACGGATGAATCTTGTTGTACGGCAGCCGTTTGGCTTTTATACAATATTCTAGTTGACGCAGTCCACGAGACCTCCTCCCTCGTTTCGTTTGCTTTCGTTCATCAAATGATGGGCATCATTTGAGCTGGGTGTCATTCTTGTAAAGGTCTTACATTAACACTAGAGCAAGAACATTATCTGGCTCTACCTTACCTCTTATATAGACCCAATTAAGCAAAAAAACTAAAAACCTCGATAGATTTAGAGTGGTTTGGCAAATTATCTTTCATACTGGTCCTGCTAATTTTGCTCGAGTGTGTATGTGTGTGTGTGTTAGCATATATACACAATACCGGTCCTAAATCAAAGTGATCAAAAGGCGAATGTCAGGCTTTGATCATCAAGGCCTAATGACCCAAGATAAAGTCCTGACCGAGGCTGTGTAAGTCCGT